GCGCACAGCTCTATAAAGGCATGTGTCTCATTTTCGAGTCAAAAGTATTCTTTTTCGACAAACCCACATGTGTCTCATTTATAGATAGATAGCCATCAATATCCATATCAGAATTATTCTTATCATCATCATCATCATTATCATCTTCTTCTTCTTTTTCTTGAATAGATGTTGAAATGAGAGAGAATAATAATGTTTTAAAATTTAAATCATGTTACACAAGGTTAGTTCACAAAAAATAAGAAAGAAAAACTATGCCTCATAAACGAGACTTATATTTGCTTCTCTTCCACAGGAGTATAAATGGGAGGGTCATGCTGTTACCCTGCTCGTTGGTGACCCTGCTACGACTGTTCCAGACTAATTAATAAGAGCAACTAGATATCAAATCATATCACACGCAAGAAGACTTATCTGTAGGACGTTGTTTGCATATGTTTGTATTATAAAAAGGGATTGACAGTACTTACAGGTTTAAGAATATTCACTGTATTTGCTATTGCCAATCATAGGCTTACTTAAATTATTCATTATTGTTAAATAATATCGTTATCGTTATATTTATCATCATTCATTTATTGTTATTTAACACCTTGCTAAATGGCACCTTATAGGGAAATCCACTGCCTTAGAACGAGGTACCACAGCATATGTGACTAACTATAATAAACATAACTGTGGCAGAAATAGAGTATGATCGAAGCAGGGAAATATTAGATAAGATGCACCAACAATTAAGCAAGCAAAGTTAAAAGGCTGGTAAAGTTTGCCAAAAATTATATCTGGTAATAGTTGAAGGAGTAGTAATGTGCAAATCATGTTAATACATTATATTGGTTTCTGAATAACGTTTGAGATAATTTTAATTGTGATATTGCATTAGGTGAATACATACATTCTATATTAGACTAATTTGCCGGCGTGAGACTTTTGTTTAAAAAAACCCCTCCCTCTAGAAGGTACCGAATACACCCCCCGCCCCCACACTCCGGAAAATGTTTTACCTGATGCCCGGAAATGCATTTTTTTCACTTTAGGGTAGTATTTTTACGACTGAAAACCTGTTAAGGATCTACATGTTTTTCTTGAGAATGCATGTTGTCGCCGTCCACGAATCACACAGTTGTGAGCCGCACGCGCGTGGCAGCTGGCAGTGAGTTTTTTGATCATATCCGACAGTACTAAGTAAAAGAACGACATATTCACAGTGTTGATGTGTAATTACAAAACCAATCCTATTTTTCAGTATGGTAATGACTAATATTTAGCGAGAGAGCTACAAAGTATACATATAGGCCTATATATATATATATATATATCGAGTCCCGCCAGAGGCATTTTATTACACAATTTCTTTATTCATTTATTTACAGGACTACATTCGTTAAGAGCTATGCTACACGATGCGTTATTATGTCCTTTATTTGAACACTGTATTTACCTTTCTTTGATGATTTA